GTGTGCTGGGAGTAAACATTAGTGTTAGCAATGGGTAAACTTGCTGAGTTTGCTGTTGTAATACCTCTAGTAATGGTAAAACAAAAAGAAATTTCAATTTACAGTTATGGACTCCCATTTATTTTCTTTTCCTTTTAGCATATTGTGTTGCTCTATCATAGTTATCTTATCATATCTACTTCCTACTATGGTGAAATTCCCACTTCCAAATGGATATCCTGACACCCGGAGTGGCGAAGTTATTTACGAACCAGCACGTAGCAACATAGATTGGGGATAGCCTTGGTACATCCTGTCCAGTGCAGCATCTATGTGCCAGCAACTACACTTTAAAGGTATAGAAGTCAGGAGTCTGCCTTCCTACTCCCTCCCAACTTGTGCCTCTCTTTCCCTTGCTCCTGGAATAAACATTTTGCTTACACAGGCAGATGAAGGTCAAATGCATCAGGAATTCAGCCAACCTCTCCTACCCAAACTAAAGATGACCTATGTCTGCCATTGTTAGTGTCTGTTGGACTGGGGCTTACGTATCTAGGAGGTTCTCTCCTCCCACACCCACCTATCTTCTGTCCTATAGCTCTTCCTTTCTTTACTAGAATGTAGATGCTTTGAGACAAGAAGGTTTTAAAGACATATTAAGTTCCCTTTTTCATCTAAAATGATTTCTCAGAAGGCTTTCTTCCCCATCCCTCAGCTTTGGATAAAAGAGAAATCTAGAAAGGTTATTGTATTGCTCGATATCCCAACAGTGATTACACAGTACAGATTCTTGGGTCCTACTCCAATCTTCTAAACTTGAATCTCTTCTAAACTTGAAAACTAGGAATCTAAATTTTTAGCACATTTCTCACGTGATTCATAAAATTTGAGAACTGTTGACTATAACTTCTGTATTCGCTAGTCATTTTCCACCAAAAAACAGCTCTGAAATTGCTGTAGGATGTATTAGTACTAGTGGTGCTTATGCTGGTTTGTGTTTGTATCGGGGAATTTAAGTGCATAAGACATAGAAAGGTTTGTGAAGCAGGACTTGAGAGAGAAATATAAATAATACATGTTTGAGGGATTTTTCCTACCCATGGTGCTACTTATAAATGCTGAAGTAATAAAAACATGAAAAAGAGGCTATTTTCCAGAAAGCATAAAAACAATTTTGGAAATTATCAAGAATGTGTCAGATTAACATGTATTTAATTAGACTAATAGTTTGAAGCATGTATATTTAATCTTTACAGTTCATGGTTCATGTATTGGTTTTTCACTAAAGACCTTAAAATAGCAACAGGAAATGGTGATTATTAAACTTTGTGTTAGTTACAAGCTCTCTCATATCAGTAATTATATTTGTTAATTCTCAGATGGAGCATAGTACACAAAAGAGACAAGAATTTGGGAGTTTAGCTACTTTTTTTCTGAATTGCCTTAATTTAACATTGATTCAAATCTATTGCAAGTAAACTGTATATACCTTTCTGAAATTTTATAAGATAGATTCTGAAGATAAAATATGTAGAAAACATTTATAGGACAATCCTGTCTTTTATAATAGTGATATGTACTCTGTTAACTTC